GAAAGCACTCAGAAAAAGTTAATGTTTGTCGCTCCTGAATGCTCTAGAAATACTTCGTCTTAGTGGTTTCTGTATCCTCTCTTGAGCGGACTTGGTATGACTTATGTGTACAGCATTATAGCAACAGCCACATGCAATCACGCATACTCCCTTAATATTCTGCCTCTCGTTTTCCTGAATGCTCTAGAAATACTTCGTCTTAGTGGTTTCTGTATCCTCTCTTGAGCGGACTTGGTATGACTTATGTGTACAGCATTATAGCAACAGCCACATGCAATCACGCATACTCCCTTAATATTCTGCCTCTCGTTTTCCTGAATGCTCTAGAAATACTTCGTCTTAGTGGTTTCTGTATCCTCTCTTGAGCGGACTTGGTATGACTTATGTGTACAGCATTATAGCAACAGCCACATGCAATCACGCATACTCCCTTAATATTCTGCCTCTCGTTTTCCTTCTTTTTCTTCACGAAGACCTGGAGGAAGTCCGCAATTGGAAGAATTTGGCTTGGATGGGAAGATAATATTAATATTGACCTTAAAGAATAGTGGATAGGCTTGTGAACTGGATTCGTCTGACTGAGGGTATTGACCAGTGGTGGTTATTTGTGAACTTTCGAGTATTATGAAGGAATTCGTTTTAAAAATATAATGTAAAAATATCCCTGACACAGGCCGTGAAGATCCATAGTGTTATGATAAGTTGAGGCTCCCACATTTTCTAGACAGTCGGCTCACAGATGGTGGTGAGGTTGTCAGCCTTACGCGCCGTCCGCCCTTTACCCCCACCAAGGTTCCTGGTACTCATATCTGTTAGAGGCTGAATCGAGCCCAGGGCCATAGTGAGGCTGGAAGGATTTGGTCAATTGAAAAATCCAATTACTCAATCGGGAACCGAACCCGCAAGCTTCCGGTTTATAGCAACCAATTATCCTACCGCATGCCCCTGTATAAATTATGTATAATTTAAATTCTAAAGAAAGAATTATTTTTGTACGTATGAGTATGAGTATTTTGACGCATTTAAAAAAATATGTGAGACTCTTTGCTTTCACTTGCCTCCCCGTCTCTCTATTTGCTTTTTTCAAGCCACAAGACTGCTTTAGTCCTAGAGATTTTAGTGAATCTTTGCAGATTATTGTAACTTACTGTGCAGCGAAATTGAGTGCCAGTATACTCGCATTAGAGCCGGTCACGGTAGCCGAGCGGTCTAAGCCATGTACTGTCTTCGCTCGCTTGGAAACCGGGATCGTGGGTTCGAATCCCACTCAGGGCATGGATGTTTAGTTTGTGTGTGTGTGCGTTTTTCTGTGTTTGTGTACAGGTAGAGGCTTTGCGACGAGCTGATCACCCGCCCAAGGAGTCCTACCGAGTGTGTAAGATCTAGAAAAACCGAAGTAGACTGAGAAGTTCATGGAGATAGGCCTAGGCCCACTGGGGCTGTAGTGCCAAGGGGAAAAAATACTCGTATTAGTCATTTAATTTCTATCATTTGTCTTCCCTGCTCATGATTCGTACTTATTCTAATTGCCATTATTTCCGTTTATTTTGAATTGTAAGTAATAATAGATATGTAACTAGTGGAGTAATAAAACTGAAGGTGATAGTCGTGATGATGATGATAAATGATGATGATGGTGATGATGACGATAATAATAATAATAATAATAATAATAATAATAATAATAATAATGGCAGCATAAAATTGGTAATCTGAAAAGACATGAAGCAAATTTCAAAAGAATCTGAGTTCTGTAATTTGTATTTCCTCTTCTGCTTACTGCAGTATGTTTAATATTATATTTCAACGCCCTGTTTAAATTTACATTGTTGCATTATAGACGGAAAAAATGAGTACAAATTATGATGCAGTTTGCTGTTAAATGACCTAACAAGTTAGTACTTTGTGTATTACTCTCACCAAAAGAGGAACACTTCAAAAAACTTCTAGAAGTGATATTACGGCGGCAATTTATTACAATGTGAACAGATTCAGTGACAGACATTTAACATTTCTGAACCAGACAGTTATAACTTTTCTAATTATGTTGCATAGTTAATTACAATTTTCCAGTTCTCTTTTTTATTTGCTAACCATGTTATCAATAAATTATAATGATATCCCATACACAAAGTCACTATGTTTTGTTTGTGTTTCCGCAGTGGTATTATCTGTGTTTGTGGAATCGGAGTCAATGAAGCCGCCAATTATGCTCTGAAATTACAACATTCATCAAAAGCAAATTTCTTGTTTTTTATATTAGTTTCCGAAAGCGAAACAACAGTGTTCGCTATAGTTGAACGACAAAATCTGTGTATAGCGGCTGTTGCCTTGACGTTCACTGAACTGTCATTTGGATTTCCACTTGCAATTTCCGTATGCAAGCATCAATATTAAAACGACGACGAAAAATGAAGGACAATCAGAATAAAACACATTATATAGCGCGGTTTTGGGTGTTGAAATTATGCTTAAAAAGATGTGTATAAATATATTTGAATATATATGAAGGAGGCAGTCTTCTGGGATTTGGCACCGTGTATAAGTGGTGTTAACCGNTATATTCCTCGAAGAATGGTCTGGATTTTGTACTTTACTGGATGAGGCAGTGGACATTCAGGGTTAAATTCGCAACGAAGAATTTTTCCTGAAGAAGTGGCATATTTATATCGGGATATGTTATTATTACTCGCTGATTAATCGTAATGATGTTGACTTTCTTCAGACAAGAGTGGAGGAAGTGAAAGATTTTTGCTTGCTTCTGTTTTTCGAAACATAGTCCGTTATCAAAATGCAGCGTCGTTACAGAACTCAATATGGAAATATCCACCTTCAGATAATGCTACCCGATATTGGCTAAAGGAATTTCAAAAGGCTAGTATTGTTCTGCACCTATAAGGGGTTTGAGTACCGAGAACAATTGGAGGGAAATTGAATACCACTTGGATATCGTACGTATTACGAAATACGCCTATGTTGTTTAGCTTTCTGCATTATTGATTCTACAAGTAATAAAATTCTTTGAGATACAGTTTCATATTCCTTAAGCAGTTTTGCCGCCGATTTGAAAATTATAAGCCACGGAAACCCCGACAATAATTAAAATCATCCTGTATATCTAACCCGAGGAGCAAACATGTCCTTGAGAGGCGAATAGTGTTCAAAAGTGCCCTTCACTGGAGTTTCATAATTTTTATTTTTCGCCAAATATTGTGAGGCTGAAGAACTCAAGAAACCTGAGATGAGCCGTGTGTAGCACATTTGGGACCATTGCATACAGAACGTTAGTCTGACTACCGGACATATGTGTTTGGAGAGAGTTAGTATAGAGAGTATTGAGTGAGAATTGAAATTTGAGGAAAAGCAAATCCTACATAATCCAGATTCCAGCGTATTAGCTGAAGTAAGTGAAATTTATGTAGTCGGTTCAGTATAGTATTCATTCATCAGTAATCTGTCAGATGACAGGTCCACAGCCTCTTCCAAAACAGTTTCTCCACTTAATGCGATCTTCTGTTTTTGGAAAGAGACTATCCAGGAATATTGATAATGTGGTAGTTTTTCCATTTGCTTTCCACATCGCAGTACAACAGCCGTTCAAACCACTCTGGTCACGCCTGTTGCTATACGAACTTGAACCATCTCGAGCATCATTTTCTCTGTGCTTCAAGTCGCCGCTGATGACGCTGCTTCCGGCATCAGTTTTCGGTGTCTCTCTTCGTCTGATGCCTACCCTTTGACCTGTCCAGCAAGGGAGGCCCTGCCAGTAGCTACGCTACCGCTGGTATAGCTCTCAGGGTCCTTGGCATACTCAAACACCCTCACCACGATAAGGTGGAGGGGTCAGTATAGTATATACGCACCGCAAATTGAGGAAGTGTTTGACTTACGTCACTGGCTTTTGGGTCCATATCTGGTTTTGCCTTATTACAGGCGTGTGAAACGAACGGACTGAAATTAATTGCACGGAGACATAGGGATTTGGAGAGTGGGACATGTAGGTTCGTGGGAGACCTAGGTCAGCGTCATCAGCGTTGAGAATAGAGATGAATCGTTGTAGAATCCAATTTCTAAGTTTTATTAGCCAACCTCCCACACAACGACTCGCATATACACGTAGGGGTACGACATGCGGTGAATGCACGTTACGTGAAGCCTACGTGTCGGAGTTTACAAGTTACGGTACGGAATAATGTTCTGCTATTCAATTAACATGACTTTCATGTTGTAAATCTCTGGCCAGAACAAGTATGAATACTGGGTGCTTCCCATTTCTAGCGTACTTTCTTTTCCAGTGAAGTAAGTAGATCTAAGGGCCGTGCCGTAGCTCAAGCGGTTAGTCGCTGGTTTCCCACCGCGGCGGCCCGGGTTCGATCCCTGGTCTGGTCAAGTGGGATTTGTGGTGGACAAAGTGGCGCTGGGGCAGGTTTTCTCCGAGTAGTTAGACTTCCCCTGCCAATATTCATTCCACCAATTGCTCCACAATCACCCTCACCTAACATCTGGGGCTGGTACAATAGGCCAGAAGTGGCCGCAGTACAAGGGACTTAGTCCCACCCCACTAGCATTAAAAATTAATACAGGATTGACAAGAACAGATTTCGATTTCTTACTTACTTACTCATGGGGCTGAATCCTTGTTGAGGAGCCGCCAATTCGGCAGCTACTTAAGAATTTGACAGCATTTTATGGAACCCGAAGGTTCATTACAATTTTCACAACAGCCCTCCACTGGTCCCTATCCTGGGTCAGATCAATCCAGTCCTTATCATCCCATCCTATCTGTCTAAGATCCATTTTAATATTGTCCACTCACCTACTCCTTGATCTTTCCAGTGGTCTCTTTCCTTCTGGCTTTCCCATCAATATCCTATATGCATTCCTCTTCTCCATTCGTCCTACATGCCCTGCCCACCTCATCCTCCTTGACTTGATCATTCTAGTTATACTTGGAGAAGAGTACAAGTTATGAAGATCCTCATTATGGATTTCGGTTTCAGGACTCAAGAAACAGAGAGATGTTGGTCAGATTCTTCGAGAGTCAAGGAATCATTCACAAACAATTTGTTTCACCAGGTCAGACGGTGAGTAAGGAACATTAATCGAAGTAGTGCCTAGTTTGGTTCGAATAATTCGTCGAGTAAGACCTCAGTTCCTCTTGCGTCACAATGCGAGACCTCACACTCTAGTGACAACACAGCAGTTTCTGGTAAAACACCTCCTCCATATTCTCCTAATCTAGCTCCATCAGACATTTTCTTATTCTCCAAAATCGAATCCACGCTGAAAGGGAGAAGATTTGAAAACACGGAGAACATTAAAAGAAATATAACACAGGAATTGTTGTCATTACATGAAAATTAGTTCAAAAAGTGTTTCCACCGATTTTATGAGCGAGCATAAACGTGTGTGACATCTGAAAGAGATTATTTTGAAGAGTACTAAAAGATATATTTGATTGAAATGTGTGGTTTTCTTCAAATTCATGCAGTCCTGGAAGTGAATGGTCTGATCTTGTAGTATTTTATTTGTATGTTATAATTTACCTTACACAGACACGGTAAACCCATTAACAGAAGGAAATCTATAGGAGTCAGTAGGAAAATAGGGTTTGAGTTCTGCCAGGACCTACTCTTACCTTTAATGCGTAACAAACTGGAATACGCGTCACACAAAAGTGCATTATCTTAATAGAAATCTGTTGATGTTGATTCAGTTGTCCGGTCTGTGCATTGTGTGATTGTGGTCAGTGTTGACAACGTTTGGGAGCTAAATGCAGGATCCATTTTATTGGTCGAAGTGAGTAGGGCGAGCTAGTTTTCATGTATGTATACGAAGGTTTTGTGGTCCTTAAAAGCGCTGTTTTTCAATAATATTTCCTCGCCTTCTCCTCTGTATGTCCGGAACAAACCTCTTCTCCCTTTCACTCGTGGGTCTTTTGGACCACAACCTACATACACATCATTTACACGAAAACTGATTCATTCTGCTAACTTTGGTCCTGAAGATGGAGGCATCATGTACCCCGAAACGTCAGCACATCTGCCTACATGTAAAAATGTAGACACATAGGAACAAAATGAAAGTCGGAAATGAAAAATTGTGAAATCCTAAAATCAATAAGAATGTGTATTTTCTATTATACCAAGAAGTGTTTCTGTAAACAGGCGAGAAACCCGTTTAGACTTCCGGGTTAAATTGAGTTATACTGGGACATAGACTGGAAAATGTGACATTCGGCCGAAAATTTCAATGTGAGGGATCTCTTCAGTTATTTACCAGGTGCAAAGAACGCTGGGTAATATGTTCTTGATGGAATTTAGGGTCGTAAATATTATGCTTTAAGGTTATTGACCGAATATCTAATAGTTATCAAGTTTTGAGGCACTTCAGAAACAAACAAACAAATTAACCAACTTCGCTCTCTTCTTCCTGTCAAAAGTTAGTTCAGCTGTAAAGGAGAAATAAGAATCCCAAATACAGAGTGTCCCAAAAATCAGTTATACTAAGAAAATTATCTCTTATTAAAGGAATTGTTTAGATCTAAACCTACAGACAATTTGTAGAACTGTATGATATAGAGCATTTCATTTCGAATGGTTTTTAATTCATTAAATAAAACGTTTCTAAAATATCGTGACAATATGACCATTACTATGTAACGGCTCAATAAACAGTCTCGAAGTTACGCTCTCAACAATAGAAGTACGCCCATTTCTAGGCAACGGATAGGTGAAGACCCTTAGGAATTGTTGAGAGACAGTGTTTTTCGTGGGACTCGGACTCGAGAAAGACTGAGCTGTCAAGGAACAGCAGCATATATATAGAAGACAGATCCGTCCTCTCGTCAGAGAGGGCGCCCCACAAAAGCAAGACCGTAAATGTCAAACAGTAATAAATATCTCTCGACATCAAGCCTTACGGACTGACTGACCGTCAGTCGCAATGTGACTTCGTCTTCGACTTCGGCTCCACGGTGACCCTGCGAGTCGTAAGAGGCGACGAAAAAGGAAGTGTCAAATCTGAGACAGTAAAATATGGTCTCGAGTCCCAAGGGACTCAGACCCGAGAAAGATTGCACTGGCAAGGGCCAGCAGCATATACAAACGGTAGATCCGTCCTCTCGTCAGAGAGGGCCCCCCACAAAAACAAGACCGTAAATGCCAAACAGTAATAAATACCTGGTCATGAGCCCCAGATGGAGCTGGACACCAAGACTTACTGACTGACTGAATACAGAATCTACGCCGAGTTGCTGCAATTGCGCCCCAGTAGAAGGAGAGAAACCTAATCCAGCGTCATACCGAGGTTGCAGCCATGCGAAAAGAGAAGAGCACAGCGAGCTCCAAAGGGAGCTGGGAGGACGTTCTTCTCCAATTTCACCTCACCAGAGCAATCCTACGCAGCTGCACTGCGTCAAGACAATCAACACCAGCACCACCAGATAGAGGGGAAAACCGTCCGGCAACCCGTGCAGCAGCAGGTGCCACAACAGGAATTTCAGAAAACAGGTCTGTCAATACAAGCTCCCAGCTCGTCTAACAGTGGCACTGTAGCCACTGTAGTGCAGCAGCAGGTGCCACAACAGGAATTGCAGAAAACAGGTCTATCAGTACAGGCTACCAGTGACGCTTTAGCCGCTGTAATCCAGCAGCAGGTGCCACTACAGGAATTTCAGAAAACAGGCCTCTCAGTACAGGCTCAGATTCGTCTAACAGTGACACTGTAGCCACTGCAGTGCAGCAGCAGGTGCCACAACAGAAATTTCAGAAAACAGGTCTGTCAGTACAGGCTCCCAGTTCGTCTAACAATGACACTGTAGCTACTGCAGAGCAGCAGCAGGTGCCACAACAGGAATTGCAGAAAACAGGTCTATCAGTACAGGCTACCAGTGACGCTTTAGCCGCTGTAATCCAGCAGCAGGTGCCACTACAGGAATTTCAGAAAACAGGCCTCTCAGTACAGGCTCAGATTCGTCTAACAGTGACACTGTAGCCACTGCAGTGCATCAGCAGGTGCCACAACATGAATTTCAGAAAACAGGTCTGTCAGTACAGGCTCCCCGCTCATCTAACCGTGACACTGTAGCCACTGTAGTGCATCAGATCATGACAGAACTCGGTGGAGCTCTATCACAAAAAGACATAATAATGGTCATTACAAAAATGGTACCTAATTTAATGCAACAAAATGGCTGCTAGAGTTCATAGGTCGCTCAGAAACATAGCATTTAATGCAAATGCCATTTGGAGGCAGCGCTATAAACTCAGTAAACAGTTGCAAGGGTTACATATATATGCGGCTTGCTATATAAATTATCTTCATTACAATTTTCGATAATTTTAATCAAGGTTACTAGCTCTTTCCTTTCTCAGAGAAAATTCAGAGTTTCAGTCGAAGGTGAAATGTCTCCACCAAGAGATATACAAACAAGAGTGTCACAAGGTTCTGTTCTCTCCCCCACACTGCAGTCTATATATAAACGATACGCACCAAACACCAGATGTCTATATAGGTCTCTATGCTGACGACACCTGTATATATGCAACAGATCGCAAAGAGGGTTATGTTCTCAGAAAGCTGCAGCGAGGTCTCAGTGCTATTGAAACGTGGTGTGAGCGCTGGAACATAGAAATCAATGAAGAGAAATCTGAGGCAACCTACTTCTCTCATAGACTGAGGCCCCCTCAGAGTCATCTTAGACTGGATGGAGAGAATATCCCCTTCGTCATTCATGTAAAATGCCTGGGCGCAATCTTCGATAAGAGGACTGCGTGGAGACTCCACATAAAGAGGCTTAACTTGGCCGTGGTCAAGCTTATGACCGTTCAAATGACTCAGTTGTCGTTGTATCATAAGATATGTAAGTTAGGCATGATCTGCTCCGTAAAGCCTGTACTGACAGAGGACTTGTGTGTAGTGCAAAAAGAAGAATTTCGATAACATGTTATATGTGGGAAATATACACTTGACGAAACGTCAAGTGTATTCATAAGAGACAACCCCATCTTCTCGTCAGAGAGGATGTTACATAAGGACTATTACCGTAAGAGTTCAGTGGAAAAAGAATCTCTGGTCGTGGTCCTCAAGGGGCCTGACACCAAGACGAACTGATTGGCGGTAAACCGCCAGTCGTAAAGTAACTCAGACTCTGACCCTGACTCTCTGACTGCGCTGGCAAGGGCCAGCAGCATATACAGAAGACATACCCATCCTTTCGTCAGAGAGGGCGCCCCGCAGAAACAAAACCGTAACTGTCAAACGGTAATAATTAATATCTGGTCATGAGCCCCAGACTTACTGACTTACTGATCGTCAGTCGTAATGTGACTTTGACTATGACTTGAGCAGTAAGTACAGTACAAAAGACAGACCCGCCCTCTCGTCAGAGAGGGCGCCCCACAAAAACAACAAACTGTCAAGCAGTAATAAATATCTGGTCATAAGCCCCAGATTGGGTTCGACACCAAGACTGACTGACTGACCGACCGTCAGTCGCAATGTGACTTTGACTTTGACTTTGAGCAGTCAGTCGTAGAACGAGGGGTCAGAAGTATGAAAATGAGAATTGAAGGGATACAAAGGAATATAACAGAGTTAGCCTGAGCAAAGAAGATTTGATATGTGGGACTGTTATAAATCCGTTGCCAGGATAAGACTAGTGAAGATTGAGAATACTTAGCGTGTCCTAGTGATTTTTGAAATGGGTATATTAGCAATAGCGCTGTAATTTGTTGTGATTAAGAGAGATTGCAAAAGAAATTGTTAATAAATCCAATAATCCAACCCATAACCTCTTATTTTTGGCCACGGAGCCATAAACTCGTGACAATATTTTGTGTAGACTTCATTAGCAAGTTAACTGAATTTTGGGATGTCCTATATTTTTTCACGCAACAATGTTAAATACGCTTTGAAGTTTGATGCTTCTGGTTTGAATCGTTATGTAAACACGCTCACCACCACCTCAGTTACTTCGAAGCGTACTTCTCTGTTCTACTATGGTGGCTTGAAACACGCTCCCTGTAAATTATTAGAAACAACCTTATTTCAATGACCTACTGTGTGTGATAACACTAATATT